CATTAAATGAAGGTGAGAAGGTTAGTGTGAAGGGGTAGAGGATTAAAAAGGAGTTAATGAGTGGGGAATTGGGAGTGGGTAGTTAGGAGACAGGGTGGGTTTTCATTTGACTGGGAAGGAATGATTAGTGGGTCCGAGAAAGGGGTTGAGGGTAATGATTGAACGAAACGATGGGAGAGTGAATGGGACAAGTGAATGGGACAAGTGAATGAGGGTAGTGAATGAGGGTAGTGAATGAGAGAAGAATCAGAGTGATTGAGGTCAAAGTACTTATTTCTCTCTCTCTCTCTCTCTCTCTCCCTCTCTTTCCCTCTCACTCTCTCTCTCTTTCTCACTCTTTCTCTCTCACTCTCTCTCTCCCCCTCTCTTTCTCTCTCACTCTCTCTCTCTTTCTCTCTCTTTCTTTCTCTCTCCCTCTCTCTTTCTCTCTCACTATCTCTCTTTTTCTCTCTCACTCTTATTCTATTTCACCCTTCTCAGTCTTTTCCAATCTCTTTCTTTTTATTCCCTTTTTTTCCCCCTTTTTCTTTTCTTTTTGACTTAATTTCGTTTGATTTTGTCTCTCTTTCTAGATGTAATTAGACGAACTCTGTCTTTTTATGGCAGTGAAAAATATTTGTGTCTATTTTTGTGTCTTAACATAACAATGAAAACAAGACAAAAAGGAAAAAAAAAAAAAGAAGAAGGTCGGTGCTGTTGTTTTCATTATTGTGTGATTAAGTTTACAGACAGACGAACTCACAGACAGATACGGACGCTTCAATACGGGAGGGGTCGAAAAATCCAATGAGGAAAGTTGTAAAGATAAGAAAGGCGATTTTTTTAAAGGCTGGAGGTTGTTGCAAGGAAATGGGGTTGGCGGTAGTCTTTTTACTCGCAAATTGCTGTGTAAAAACAAACCCACACGTTAACATACAAATATTACAGAGCATATAAACATGTGTGCACAACATTAACACTGTATCAAAATACACATTTAAATACGCCTAAGCATTCTCACACATCGAACAAATACACGCTATCATTTACACACACATTGTTTATGTAGTATGTATAACATGTATAAATATATATTCCCTTGCTTCGACCGGGAAAGTTTCAAAATAATATTAGCTCAAGCCCCAGGGGGTGGGGGATCAGCCAGGCAGTGCTTTTCTTTCGGGAGGAGAATGGGGTTATTACCTGGCGCCTGAGGCGTTCCCAAAAAGGGGAAGTTCCGAGGGGACTTGAGCAATTTTTCCACAGCATTGCCGTTAAACCCACTTTAAACTGACCTTGTGTCACAATTGGTAGAAACGTTGGCGCACTGAAAAATACATAAATATAGATATATAGATATCAACCAAAGACTCGCTAAAAAATGAGCATACCATAATGGAAAAATGCCGTAAAATTAATAAAAACAATTCTTTATTGTACAAATTTTTATGTTAATAGTAAAAGCAAAGACTAATGGATTTTTTATTACTGAATTATAATTTTTTTTTATCCTTTTTAGAATATTCGAAATTTTAGATTAAAAATTTTGTTTTCCTTACGTCAGAGGCTGATTATAAATTCATTGGACATTTTAGCGTTTTTTTGCGTTGAAAAACATTAATTGGGAAATTATTTGAAAACTCAAATTATTGTAAGGTTTTAATGAAACTTTCAGGATTTATTCCCAAAATTGTGAAAATTTTGGTAAATTATTTTTTTTTTACATATGTTACCCCATTTTTACTTATTTATTTTTTGAAATTTCGATATATATATATATATATACATATATATATATATATATATATATATATATATATATGTGTGTGTGTGTGTTTATCTGGTCTGCTCTACGGTTGTATCGAGCTCTTTTGCTAGTTGTTTACTCGTGTCGGGGTTCTTTCTTTGGGCTTTGAACCTGTATCTGTGCGATTTTTCGACAGACTTTCATGTTTCTAGCTCTTTCTTTTTTAAAACCTTTTTTCCTTCGAGATTGATTTGATTATTGGCAAATCAAAATTCGAAGGTTTTTCGAGACAGTATACACACACACACACACACACACACACACACACACACACACACACACACACACACACACATATATATATATATATATATATATGTATCAATTGATAATTAATAGAAATAATTCCAAGGAGTTTATTAATCCAGAGAGAGATCAATTTATTAACAAAACGCTGGTCTGAAAAGATGGATGTAAAAGACCACGAAATAAATTACAACCAAATGGATTTTTAAGGATTCTGTATTCATTATATATATATATATATATATATATATATATGTGTGTGTGTGTGTGTGTATGTTTTGTTTACGCCTTAAATTAAATTGAGTAAATATTTATTCACTTATCTGTGTATACAGGATAACGCACGTATATACGGTTACTAATATCTAGTTATTTGAATTATCCAAGTAAATACCTCCTCCCTCTCTCTCTCTCTCTCTCTATATATCTATATATATATATATATATATATATATATATATATATAACTCGTTTTCGAAAAACCCTCGAATTTTTGATTTGCTAATCAAATCAATCTCGAGGGAAAAAAGGTTTTAAAAAAGAAAGAGCTACAAACATGAACTTCTGCCGACAAAAAATCGCACAGATGCAGGTCTGAAGCCAAAGAAAAAAACCCCGATACGAGTAACAACTAACTAACAAAAGAGCTCAATACAACCGTAGAGCAGACCTAGATACACCCTAGATACACCTGTCTGGCTCACTAGGTGTATCTATATATATATATATATATATATATATATATATATATATATATATATATAGAGAGAGAGAGAGAGAGAGAGAGAGAGAGAGAGAGAGGGAGAGGCGACAGACAGACAAACAGACAGGCAGACAAGGACTCGTACTAAACGTTGAGGAACTTTAAAAATATGTAAGATCTTTCTTGAAAGTTTTATTTTAGTTTTAATTTCAAGTTAATAGATTACATTTAATATTTAACAATTATAAAAATACGTTGCTGTATTTCAAATTTAAATTAAATAGACTGAAATTATTTTCTTTAAGTCACTAAAAATGCTGATTTTAGTGCCATTTTTAGAGATTTGTAACTTTATTAAAAAAAAAAATCTTTCCAAAATCAAATATACCTTTTTGAAACTTTATTTGAGGAATATTAGCGGATTTAAAGTTTAATTAATCTGATTTTAAACAAATATTACTTACTTTTATTTTAATTTTTTTAATACGAATGTAGATGTTTATTTAGGATCTTGACAGACTGACAGCTTGACCGACTTCTGGAAGTTTATTTAATTTTTTTCTATGGGAGACATATCTGTAAAATTACTTGAGGAATATAACGTGAACGCCTTTTTATATAATTTTTAAGTGCTCAGTAATCTTAAAAATTTAGGAAAATATTCTCCGTAATCAAATGTTTCATTGTTTAGGTACTTTGGTTTTAAATTTGCTATAATTACCGCTCTTATAATTTTATAATGTCGTGCATGGACGTCCCTATTTACAAAATCGGTACGTTTATACACACAAACAATTCTAAATTCTTTTTAAAATATTGAACAACTAACCTTTACAAATTAATACAGACATTTAAAAGTTTATAAATTATTCGAATTAAAATTTAAAAATAAATAAAACCATTCTTATAAAAAATAATTATTCATCGAAAAATATTTTTTCTTCAGACAGTAGTGCCCACAATATATCCTTTTTATAAGAGCAATTAAAAACTTTTCTAATTAAATAATGTTTTAGTTTTATTGCATTTTTTATTTTACGATTTAGAGCAGATTCTCAGTAAGTGGGGGAGGGGTCCTGTTTTACAAAGAAATTGTAACCCTACCCCACTCTAAAAAAACAAAAAAACAAAACAAAAAACACACAAAATGCATATGATTAATAAAAATATTATGCAATACAATAATTAATTTCTCGAAATTTTATAAAATTAAAGAATGTAAAGAAAACATAGTAAATGTAAAAAAATATTTTACCTAGATTTTCTAAAAAAAGAAACATTTCTAAAATAATTTCATTCGTTTATAAATATCTTAATTTTTACACCCCCCCCCCATAATTGTACCAATAATAAGTGCATTAAAAAGAAAAGTCGAGAAATATACGCAGTCAATTGCTGGATCTCCTGAAGACTAGATGGTCAGGTCCGTCTAAGTAACATGAATCAGCTAAGTGACACACTTTTACTTATATTAATTATATATATATATATATATATATATATATATATATATATATATATATATATATATATATATATATATATACCAGTGTGTGTAGGTGCGTGTGTTTCGTTGAATAATCTGAACACATTATGTCTATTTTATTGTAAACCTCACAAATTCTCAAATCGACTTCCTAACGTTGATATTAAATTCATTAAGAAAGACACCGTATTTTTTTTGTAGGAATGTATCTTTAGATGTAGTGCGATATAAATTGTACCCAACATATGGAGT